GCCATTCTGTCCATTTACTAAAGTCAGACTGCTATATTCTAGTATGTTTTTACTCTCTGTGTCTGTGGGTACAGAACAAATTCCCTGTTTAGAAAATTTATCAATAAAAAAAGAGAAGAAAAAATAGACAATTTATCACAAAGCTGTTATTATTCAACCCAATATCATATAATATTAAAAGAATCAATGACTGGCTCAAAACAACTACCAGTAGCTGGGAATTGGAAATCTATGTAATTGACAGTTTCCCCTTTAAGGGTACAAAAACAATTATGAGAAGTATGCATTATCAAGAGAAACATTATGGGCATGTCTAAACTATGTACTACAAGTTAATAACTTAATTTTTGATTTTGGTTTTCCCTTTTTTAAGTTGGCTGCCTTTCCCTCATTTCCTTTTAAGTGTGTATCCCTTGTAAATTTTTACCTGAAAATTTAATGTTAATGATAAAGTACAAAGCAAAAAGCAACAGAGGTAGAAGCATATCTAGACAAAATATAGTCACAAATGAGCCAGAAAATAATTAGAGACCAATGAGCACAAAGATCTTTCTTTTGGCAGTAATATTTGAGAGTTAAGCTGGTAACACTGAATAGTGAGTCCACCTGGAAAAATGTCCATCAAAAATGTCTGTCAGCATCAAGCCCATGATAAGAGAAAACAGTAAGAAAGGACACCAAACCAGTTTTCCCCTTCCCACTGAGTATTTATTTGATAGCTTTTGCTTCAGGTAATCAACTTTAACAATAGAAAGCTGGCAGAATGTTCAGGAAAAGGAGTGAGTATCTCTCGGACAAATGTGACAAAATGGTTTCAAGTTGGAAACAGTAATACATAAATGAATCAACTGAATGGAGAAAGGGGGAAGAAGAGAGAGAAAGCAGACAGAGGAAGGAGTGAGCACTTTCCAACATGGACTGTGAGGGAAAAAAAGGCACTGTTTAGCTGTCTGGGTATTCATAAAATAAAGTCAAAATACACAATCCATGTTTCGCAAAATTACATTCAACACTGCTTTAGAGATGCTCACCTATCTGATTCGCAACAGAAAGGCTGTCTAAAAAAAAAAAAAAATCACACAGACAGCAAGTCACAGGTTGACAAGCAGTGTTTGAAAAAGATCATCACCACCAGGGTCCTTTTAAAAATAGTACTGCAAAGGTCACAGAGCTGCATGAACTAAAATTATGGGACAAATCTGACTAACTGATCACCCATTTCAATTTCTAAAATTTTCACCCCAGGGAATCAGAAAGTAAGCTCTACTCCAGAGGAGCTGATTTGGCAGTGCATTTGACACAGGGTTGCTTTCCCCCTCAGAAGGGTGTCTGAGCAGCAGTTTCACTGGCAGCAGACAACAATTTTGCACAGGGTGAATGGATGTAAAAATTTAACAGCGATTGCCCTGCTTTCTCTCAAAATAACAGCACTAATTTATGAAGAGGCAAATTTTCAAATCATAAATTAGAAGCACCTGGGCCTATTAAAAACAAACTTCATGAAAGGTTACAGTACCGGGTGCTTTTCATAATAAAGGATTCTAGGGCCATAGGTGTGCTTGAGAATGATCAACGGGAAAGCCCAGATAAGACAGTTTTACACAGATGCTCTCTATGTAGAATTTGAATATAAACTAAAATACCAGATATGCATTCGGGAACCAGCCTTTAGGTAAATTCTCTAGTGCTTTTAGAATTTTTCTTTTTTTATTAGAAAAAGACTCATTATCTACAAACTATTTTCTTTCTAACTATGCAAATACAATGAGCAAATTATCTGCAGTATCAAAATACTGTTTGTAAATCACTGATGGCACTAATGACTTTAGGAATTTCCAATAGGACAGAAATTGAGAGAGCAACAATAGATTCCAAATTATAGTCATTAACTGAATTTCAAGAATCGAAAATAACATTTAAAGGTTAAAAGTCAATAAATTTAAATTCTTTGATTTTTCAATACTTTAAATCCAACCATCAGGAATCCAGAAGCACCCGATACGTTCAAAGTTGCACAAATTCATATGGAAGATGGCAAAGTAACCCCCATGCAATATTTACGTGTTGCTATGAGATATATTTAAGTGATACTTTACAGAATAAAGCTGGGTAAAATCAAAATATAACCTCCCCATTACATTTTAAAACAGTCACAATAATTTATCAACAGTTGCCATTTCACAGCAATTAGAAAACAGTTGATACAAGTTGAACAAAAGGTACTTTTTCCTCTCTTAGGAAATAACATATATAGATATATATATATATATACACACACACACACACATAATATTATCTTTTAAAATTCAGTGGTTAATCTGCTTTTGTATTATAAAAAAAATCCCCTATGATCAAAATACTGAAAAAGCACAAAGGCTGGAAAAAGAAAATCACATTTGCCACTTTAAAAAAATACATTATAGTCTCAGTGGTTCTATTTATTTCATTGATTATAAACTTAGCTACTATAAGGATGCTGCACTTGTCAGAATTCTAGGACTGTAATGGACCAGATGGACTTAAATCCAACTCTTTGTTGGTCTCCAGGAAGAATATGCCTACACCACCCTTTAAAAATGACAGATAAATGCCCTCACTTGAACTGTTCAACGGGAAAGAAAACATGCCCACCTGGAAACAATCTAAGTCATAAAAGTTTATGAATTTGTGGGAGACACCACCTGAATTAGAAAGCTATCCTTTGGCTCTAACGTAGGAGCTTTTGAAAGTTTATGAACTCTTTTTGGCCTCTCTAGTAAGGATTCAACAATGATTTCTCTGTAAATCATGATTTTTTGTAACAGGGTTTGGCAAACTACAACCCATGGTTCTTATCGTGAATATTGTGTTTTTTTAACAAGGTTTCACTGGAACATAGCCACACTCCTTCATTTACGAACTGACTGCGACTGCTTTCGTGCTGACAGCAGAGCTGGATAGTTGTGGCAGACTGTGTGGCCCAAAGAGTCTGAAAGACTAGCCCTCTGGTCCTTCATAGGAAAAATGCTACTGACCCCTTGATCTAGTACACCACCCGCTACTCTATCAGAATGTTAATGCACCTCAAGATTTTAGCATAGACTCCAAGAATAACCTTCTTTCTAAAGACTGGGGACCCTTGGCAGGTAAATATCAGATGTCCTCCACCTTGAGATATTATTTACTTTCAGGGAAAGAAATGATTTGTGTACATTTTCAACAAATATCTGCAAAAGTGAATAACTATCAGTGCAGGGAGGGAGGGAAGAAGGGAGGGAAAGAGGAAGAGAGAGAAAGAAGAGAGGTGAGAGGAAAGAAGAAAGTCAAATAAGAAAAGCTTGCCTGTCAGATGCTGATTATCTGGGCTGATTATGGTGGGAGTGAAGATGCTAAAATGATTCTGACAACTTGCTGTAGTTTTAAATTTATTTATGAATGCTTTTTGACTAATGCCTGTAGTTTTAAATTTATTTATGAATGCTTTTTGACTAATGCTTCCCCTTTGTGTCCCATACAATCAGTAACTTTGAAAGAAGCCTGCCTAAAATGCTCACATAGTTTGGCCAGAACTTTTTCAAGAATATTTAAACTAAACATATTAAAGATTATTCCTTTAGAAAACATTTCCAAAATTCTTTGTTACCCAAAGAAGGGAAAGAAGACAAAGAATACACAGGGCATTAAGCTGCCAAGTATTCCTTAAAAACAAGAGGTATAAAACAGTCAACATTTTGGAATATGATGTAAAATAAAATGAGAATAATTTCCAAATTTGAAGAGCAAATATTCCCCTGCCTCGAGTCACTAATGAAGCCTTTTTCAAGCAGGGTACCCCTTGAACTCAAGCTGCTGCTTGTAAATTGTCAAGATTTTACAGGTGTTTCGTATTTCAATAGTTGTTGAAACATGGAAGATAAAACACTGAGAAGATATTTATCAAACACAAATTTATATCAAGATGAATTTTTTGTCAACCAGCTTATAGGTGGAATTTTCCCTTTTGTTGCTAAAAAAATGAATGGTATGAAACTATGTTAAAGATGTTTCCTTAATACCATACATTTATACAGCGGTTTACAGTTTCCAAAGTGCTTTCACATGCCATCTGATTTAACCCTCACAACATCCCTGTGAGGTAGGTACAGCAGGTATTATGATCCTCATTTCAAGATGAGGAACTGAGGCAAAGTGAGGCCAAGTGACTTGCCCAGGGTCTCACAGCTGTCAAGTGGCAGGGCCAGGACGAGCGATCAAGTTTTCTGACTCCTTGTCCAGCACTTTCCACTGTAACAACTGCCCCCAATTATGAATAATGTACTATATATCAAAATTGAAAGGCTATTGAAGTTCATTTCAGTGATGTCTTAACAGTTAAGTTAGATGAAAAATATAAGAACAGTAGGTCTAATGGTTTTACTTCACATAAAATTGGTGCAAAACCACTTTTGTGTAGTTATCTATAACCTTTTGGTCCAAATACATAAAATATGCAATATTTACAGCATTTTCCATTGTTGTAAATGCAATGCTTTAAAACACATTATAAAGCACCTTAGTAAAAATAGTCTACAAGTAAAAGTACAGAAGAAGTAGGAAAAATCCTACCCATCCCACAGCTCACTAATGGAGTTATAATATGGATCACTGATATTCCAATTTACAGCTTTACAAATAATCCATGGAGAAACAAATACTTGACTTTTTGTGTTGAAGCCTTTAACTAAAACTTCAGGTAATTTCAATATTCTTTGATGTGGCTCCCCAATCCTAAATATTGGGGAAACAGGAATCAGAAATACTGTTATTTTTACAGTGTTAGTAATGCGTTAACTTGGTTTTTAACACTTACCAATTTTTTGAAAGAAAATTAAAATGACATAAAATATGAGCAATTCCAACTATAGCAAAAACATTTCTTAGCAAACATGATCAAACATTCCAATAAATTTCATGAGACGTGATTCACAAAAACAAAAGCACACACTGCCAAACAAGTAGTAACTATTCAGTCAAGGTGTATAACCCAAACCTCCAGGTGAAGGTGGAAATAGTAAATGATTTATATTCATGTTAGTTGAAAAAAAATGCTTCATCAAAAACAGAATATCAGAACTTTTTCTGAAACTGTATTTAAGTCTTTCGATAAGACCTGCTATGTTTTTAGGTGATGTGTACAGTTTTTCTGGGCAGGAGATTTTAACTCCCACCAAAATTTAACCAGCGAAAACAAAAATAGGCTGAAACTTAAGACTACTTAGACTGCTGACATACCAGCCAGCATCTACTTTCTTGATGTTAATCGTCTGTTTCCTAACTTGGCTCAAAACAAATTGTCTTACCCACCGAACGGCAATCCAGGCTGTGGAGTGGAGAGCTAAGGTGAAGACAAGGTCAATGTATTAGTTCAAGATCCTACTATTCAGTTCACCTTGTATTCAGTTCGATTTAGGGTAAATCTTTTCATAGAAAAAGTTCTGTGCGAGGATATAGAGATCTCCATCCTTTTCTCGTACGGCATGGGCTCTGATGAACTGGAACTGCTCCAATGCAAATTCATAGAACTCGTTCTCCATTTTCCAAATGTCAGACTGCTGTAGTTTTGCAATGGTTTGTTTAGTGGGGAGTTTCTTCTCTGTGGTTTTTCTAAGATGAGATTTCTTTCCTACTTACAAAAGAAAAAAAAGAAGAGGTAAATAATTCTAAGAATACACAAAGGTCAATGCTTCTTTATTTAAAGAGGTTGTTAAAGTTAATATGATACTGCGTTGGGCAGATAACATAGTTGTTTGATATCAATACTCAGACAGAAACAGCACCCTGGTCATACTGGAACTGTGATTTATTCCTTCCTCATGCAAATCCTTAATCTGTTAAAGCTTTAATGAGATGCCAAATAGTAAAATTAAGGCTTGCCACTCAGTAAAGGCTATCACCTTACATGCTGTATTCGCAAATGCTTAGTGTTCTGACTTGTTTATTTTTAAAGACAGGATAAAATATCAAACTTGATACTAATTTCTCACTACCTATATTCTCTACAATTATTTATTCAAAGCAAGGATATATACAAAGCCTTGCCAAAAGAGCTCTTACCATTGTTTCTTACCAACCAATAGCAGAAAAACAAAACAATGGAAATAGACTGGACAAGCACAGTCAATTTCTTATCTGTAAGAGTATTGAGGCTGCTGAATCGCACTTTCTGGGGTATGATAATCCAACAGACAAACACAGGATGATCACTACTACTATGACAGTCCCACTGTGACATTAGGCAGGTCTAAGGACAGAAGTCGTAACACAGTCCAAATGGGTGTTATTCAACATTACTGAATATTACACATTTCTCAAGCTGGTTCTATAATGTATCTTTCTACTAGTCTTATAATGCCTTCTAATTATCATCTAATGCAGGGTTATTCATTCAAAACATATATAATGATACCATCTGTGTGCCAGTCACTGTTCTGAATCATAAATAATGAGCGGAAACACAACACAGAGTCATCTTTCTGGAGTTGTTTCTTGTGTGCTTTACTGAAGAAACTTCAGATCACCTATTTTTCAAGTTGCAAACAAAGTTAAGGGACAGCTTAAAAAGATACCCATCTTTTATATACCTGTACGATAGAGTTCTGTAGCACCCCTGAAGAACCGAGGCAAAGCTGCTTCCAATAACATAATGAAATCTTCAAGCTCTTCAGTAACTCCCACCAGAAAGTATTCATTAATTAGGTTATACTTGGCTTGATCCATAGCCCACCTGCTTCCCACATTCCTAAACCAAAAGAGTGAATTAAAAACCTGGTTGTGAAATCGACTAAGTATTTTTGATGCCTTTGACACTGTATATTATGCACAAAATAGATAAGCACATTGTACATCCAAAATCTTAATGTCCTTTTACTAACGTTCTTCGGAGGCACACCTGCTTTTCATTTCCTCTGCTCTATCCCCCGTTTCCGCTCAACTATGCAGTGCCAATTCTGACAGCAGTAGGGACGCTCACGTGAACAAAGTTTAGTTTGAGGGCAGCAGAGAGAGAGAAACATGTTACTGCCATCTGATTCAGTGTCAACATCAAATGTAATTTTTTTTTAAAGATTTATTTATACAAAACAGGGTACGGACCAGAGATGTGGAGGGTGAGAGGATTCACCAGAGACAGAGTGGGAAGCAGAACAGGCAGATCGACGAAGTACACTGTTGAGGGGAGCAGCGGGCAGGTCAGGAGAGGTCTGCCGCACCATGTGGTCACCTCTGGGGCAGGCGGGGATCGAACTCATGCAGAGGTGGCCTTAAGCTTCTTAGTGCAGTGCTTTAACCCGCTGCGCACCAGGGAGGGCCCCAAATGTAATTTTTTTTAAAGATTTATTTATTCATGCATATAGAACTGGCATAAAGGCCAGAGGTGCAAAGGATAAGAGGGTTCGCCAGAGACAGAGTGTGGAGTAGAACAGGCAGATGGACAGAAATATACTGCTGAGGGGAGCAGAAGGTAAGACGGGAGAGGTCTGCTACACCGTGTGGGTCACCCCCATGGTTGGGGATCGAACTTGTGCTGCAGTGGCTGCGATAGCTTCATAGTGCTGCGCTTTAATTCATTGTGCCACCAGTGAGGGCCCCAAATGTAATTTAAAAAAATATTTGTTTATGCATACAGAGCTGGGGTACAGGCCAGAGGTGCAGGGGCAGTGGGAGGATTCACCAGAGACAGAGTGGGGAGCAGAACAGGCTGACTGACAAAGTGTCAGTGCCCAGCTTGCTGAGGGGAGTGGCCGGCGGGTCAGGAAAGGTCTGCTGTGCCATGGCAGGGATTGTGGTTTAACCCATTGGCCACCAGGGAGAGCTCCCAAATGTAGTTTTTTAACTATTCAAAATTCAACTTTTGATTTTAGGAGCACTCTAGTAAGATCTAAGCAATTTGTGGTTAATGGTCATCTTAATTTGTGAGCTTAGGTTTTTCTGAAAATTCTGAGGCTTCAGAAATACCTAAAAATGGTTTCACTAAGAATCTTATTTTTCACTTGATTAAATAGAGATTTGACCTTAAAATATACTTCGGAGTTCCTTTTAGCACTGACATTCCCTAATCCTAATTCCACTACTTTGCTTATATGTAGTGTGATCTTGAACTGGTTACTTCACCTTCCTTGCTCCTCAACTAGCTATTTAAAAGCTAGGATGGGGAGAAAGATGTAAATTAGCAAATTTCTAAAGCTATGTTCTCAGTCTATGGAATTTCCTCAATATGCCCAATAAGAGCAACACACTATTGTTCTAAGGTAAAGGTTGGCTTTTTTCCTTGTTTGTTTTACTATAAAGGGCCAGGGTAAACATCTAAGCACTGCGGGCCTTATCAATTTGGTCACAATTACTGATCTGTGGCAGAATGGTCATAGACATTAAGTGAACAAATGGACATGACTGTGTTCCAATAGGTGACCGGCCAAATTTGGTCCCCAGGTTGCAATTCACTGATGCCTATCCTTGGAAATGACTAAATACTGAGAAAACATTCTTATGCTTCCAGTTCTTCTTATGCTATTATTATGTGGTGAAAAGGGAATTTTAGGGTCACAATAATCCATGATGGACATACATTTTTTGGCACTGTTTTGGTCATCTCTGGACAGTGGTCCTTACAGGCTGTACCCTATAGTTTAGGCATATAGCAAGCTCTGCCTTTATGTTTATGTAATTATACTCTGTGATGTATGTACAGTAAAGACATCTCCTGACAATGTAGTTCTGATGCATCCCCCTTGTTTAGACTCGTAACCATGATGCATCTCAGTGACCAAAGGAACTACAAAAGTATTCCTTTGATTTCTCACTATAGTTTTAAGGAAGATACTAACTTTGCAGGTATATCTGTTTATTCCTACTTTTCCAATTAAAATGATTGATTAGAAATATAAATGACACTGTTTTTAAGAATTGAAAACAGCACATTCTGAGAAAATAAATTCTTTATTAAAGGTAAAATATCTTTTTCAACTTTACCTTTATTAGCAGACTAAATCACAACTGTAACTGTAGCTTCTCTTGAAGTCAAAATCAGTATAACAGTAAAGCCAGGTGAGTAATTTACCACTAAGCCTTTGATCTAGCATGAATGGCTAAAGCAGTAAGCTTAGGAGAGACGGGGCTTATGAAAAAACCCTGACTTCTAATTAAGAGCTCTACTGGAGTACAGAAAAACACATAACTCTAAAAGCAAACAAAAAATGCAAGAAAAAAAAAAGCAGTTTCTAAGAAAATACTGCAAGGATATTATATATAAAAACATTTTAATGTTAAGTTAACCACAAACTGAGATGATATTTAATTACATGTTATTTTGGTCTGGTCTTTCACTAATTTTCTTATACATGACCTTGACTAATACATTCATACCTATGAAATAGAGATAATAAAGAAGATTATCAACTAAAGCTAACTTTATCTCCATACCAGCATTCTGAGCTGTGACCACAGAAGAATGGGATTTGTAGCCAGAGCTTCTCTGGAGCACAGTCTGAGCCACCCTCAGCGACACATTCATCAAAAGTCTGTAACAAAGACATGAGAGCACAGGTAAGTCATAAACCCAAGTCTAACCTATCAAAAATCTTAATGGGGTAAGTTATCAAATAAATGGGTGGAAAAAGGCAGGACATGATGGTAAATTGAAAGGAGTGGGCAGATTATGAAAATAAATGAGATATATCAACAGATGGTAAACACCAATTTTACTCAAGACCAGTTTATGTTTACTAAGAGTTCCTTTATTACAAATGAAACCCCCAATAATAATCTGATTTTGAAAATAAGCACTAATTTATACTGAATTTGTGAATTTATATTTTCTATTCCATTATTCCAAAGGAAGTAATAACAACTGATGATACTCTGAAAAACTGTTTGACAAGAATATAAAGTAGGACTTTAGGTAAATCTTTGTCTTTTCTCTTTGAAACAAACACAAAATCATGAACAAAGCAGAAATTATCTGTTAGGAAATTTATGCCCTCCTTTCCAATGAATCTAACTGAATTAAGAAAAGGGAAAGGCGGTAGGTCTTGGGTCTGCCAAACTAAATAGCTTAACTTTATTGAGCACTTATTATCACCTGCATTTTCTATTTACATCTATTTGAAATGCTGAAACATTGAGATACCAGAGAAAAACTGACAGCTCTGGTTACTGAAGTGAATGTGACATTGACTAATACTGCCTGTAACTCATGACGAGTAAAAAGAGCGCATGTCCTGGGTGAAGGCTCTAGTCTCGGTTTCTAGAACCAAGTTTGACCCAATTTAACTAAGTCTTTATGGCTTCCAAACCATACTGTTTCTAATTCATAAACTGATATAAATTCAAGGGGCCCTTTCAACCAAAAATCTGTGTAAAAAATTCAATAATAATCCTTACACTTGGCTGTGCGCTGAAGCTACAGTGGAATGATTCTCTTTATTCTGTCAATATTTAAGAAACAACAGCAAACTTCAGCTTGCTTTATTTGTCCATTTCTTTTACAGATAATATTAGCCACAATATAGTGAGAAGAGATATAACTTGGGTTTGAATCATACTGAATCCAGACAATTTAAATTTTGTTCTAGTTTCCTTTATTGGGGAAAAAAAAGGGATATAATCTTATATGAGGGACAAATCCAATCATGGATGTACAAAAATCTACCACAATGACTGGGTCATTGTATGCACTCAGTAAATAGGAAGTAAGCATTTTAATCTGTGTCTTTCTCCCCTCCTCTTCTCCCAAATACTCAAAAACAATGTTTAGTTGGCTCTTGTTCTCCTAGACAGCCACAGCACTTGGCCGCAATGACCAAATACTATTCATTTCACGTATGTTTTCTTCGACCACTCCATGCCCTAGCCTAATTATTCACATTTCCTTGGCTTCATGTATAATTCCTAGGCAAAAAGCTTTAAAATCTGCACCCCTTTATCTCCTCATCTACCTTCTGCTATCTACTGTTCATTTACATTTAAATTTACAGTTTCTCCTCATGTTTAGTATTTCTGGCAACAGGATGATATTACCCTTTGTCATTCAGGCTCAAAAACTCAGAATTTCTTTAACTTCTCTCACCTCATATCCTTGAGGTAATGTCTTTCCAATCTAACCTTTTTCAATTTTACTTCCATTGGGACCTTCAAATATCTTTTCTCAATTCTTACAACTACTTCCTAATTAGCGACCTACCTTTCTCTTCTTTCCAACCTGCTTTTTACAGTTCTCCTATCAGTCTGAGTAGTTACTACTAACATTCTCTCCTCAGGAACCTTCAATAGCTTCCAATATCTTAAAGAAAAAGACCAAAACCTCTTATTGTTTTCAGAATACGCTTTCAGAAACACTTCATACCCCAACTTCAGTGTGCCAGTCTAGCCCTAGCTCTATGTGTAACATCCAACTTTACCAGATTAATCTAATTTGTAGTTTCTCAATTATTGCCATATGTACTTCCAAATCTATATACCTTTGCTGACCATTTTCATTCTCAGAAAATGCCTTCCTTATATCAATCTAAGTTATGTTAAAACTATCATGACTATCTTGCCTAATGTCACTCATATTTTTTTAATTCATAGAAATTAATTATATACTGCCTTGTAATAACCAGCTCTTAGTATTCAGGTATTTACATCTATGCATACATCTTCATCTAAAGAAACTGTTTAAAATGTATTTTTAAAAATGTATTATGTTCCTTTTCCTCAATTACAGTAAGCATGGCTAGGAGGGACCAAGCAGTATGCATTTATGACCTCCATAACACACACCATCATGCTATACAAACTGTCTGCATGACCAATATTTGTAAATGGCTGGGAAGACCATCTCTGGGAATTTATATGAATATTAAAGGCCCAATTCTAGTGAGGCAATTTTTTTCATGAAGCATTCATATACCATTATCTGCATATATGTGTCTCTGACTCTGTCTATACAAACACACACAAATATTTTATATGAAAGCATATCAGGTAACACTTAATACTCAATAAACCCCATTTCAATGGCTATTACATTGTTTCGAACTTCACCAGGTATTTTGACTTAGATCTGCTGGTCCAAGTAACTTTTAAAAAGAGGTTTTGTTATTATTTATGCCAATTATGTGTCATACAACCAAAATGTTGTGTATATGTGCCTCTAGCATGTCCTATTTGGAAGAAGTCTCGGGCTCAATGAACTGAATGATGATTTATCATAAAGTTTCTGATTCTTTGCCTATCCAATTCCAAACAGGCCTTAGTATGGTGTCTCTGAAGCTCAGAAGGGGTTGTCTGCTTCTTCACACTTCTATCTGATTAAAGAACCAGAATGAAATGGAATGAAAAACTAAGGTGATTATAGGTGAACTTAAAAACTCTACTACCACAGTCTGTGTGTATGTGTGACTCAAAGACATTAAAAAAGATTTTGCATAAAAAAATGAAACAAGATCACTACCTCACACTATACATAAAAATCAACTCGAAGTGGATTAAAGATCTAGACATAAGAACAGAAGCCATAAAATACCAGGCAGCAAAGATGGGCCAAACACTACAAGACATACACTTCAGTGACATCTCTGAAGATACAGCACCCAATGCAACGATAGTGAAGGCAATGATAAATAGATGGGGCTAAAAAGCTTCTGTACAGCAAAAGACATTACAAAAAACAAACGGACATCCCGTTGATTGGGAACAAATTTTCTCACACAAAACTAGCGATAAAGGATTGATCACAAAGATATACAAAGAACTGATGAAACTCAACAAAAATAAACAGCCCCATCAAAAAATGGGCAGAAGAGCTAAAAGACACTTCTCCAAAGAGGAAATACAGATGGCCATCAAGCATATGAAAAAATATTCAACATCATTTGTAATAGAGATACAAATTAAAACCACAATGAGATACCACCTCACCCCAGTCAGAATGGCACATCTTAAAACAACTAGTAACAACAAATGTTGGCGAGGATGAGGAGAAAAAGACTCTCCTGCACTGCTGGTGGGAATGCAAACTAGTACAGCCACTATGTACTGTTTGGAGAATCCTCAAATTGCTAAACATGGAGCTTCCCTACAACCCAGCAATCCCACTCCTAGGTATCTACCCAAAAGACAAAAACACTGATTCAAAAAGATACTTGCACCCCATGTTTATTGCTGCTTTATTTACAGTTGGAAAGACATGGAAACAGCCCAAATGCCCAAAAGTGGATGACTGGATTAAAAAGCTGTGGTACATATATACAATGGAGTATTACTCAGCAATCAAAAAAAGAAAACACATGCCTTTTGCAGCAACAAGGATGGAGCTGGAAAAAATCACGCTAAGTGAAATAAGCCAGAAAGAAAAGGAAAAATATCAGATGGTTTCACTCATAGCAGCAGTGTAACAGACCAGGAGAGAAAATAATGATAATAATGAACAGCTATATATCAGAGACATTTTATGAGGGTAGAGTGAGGAATGGGATCAAAAACAGTGGGGGGAGAAGGGAAATGCCCTGGACGGTGGTGATGGCACATGGGTGATTTGGTGATGGGAAGCCCAAGGGGATTACAACTGAGATGGAAAAATGCACAAAAATGATGTAAAAAATATATATATATACAAGATAAAAATTTGGCATTAGAAAAAAATTGGCATTAGAAAAATATGCCAATTGCTGAAATAAATTGCCTTGTGGTAAATCATGGATATGAAATTTATAAGTGACGAAGTTATGATTAGGAAACTTTGTTAACTATTCCAAGAATAAGATTTTCAGGTTTAATACCATTGCCTAGTATTTTGTTAAACCAGCTGATTTGAATTCCCATTAAAACAGTAATGGCTCCGCTAATGGTGACAAAAAGACCACCTTACTAAAATCCATGTCAGTAGCCTAGAAAAAAAATCTGTGATGAAATTTCAGTTTATAAGCCAGCAATAATAGAGACCACATACTTTCTACTTTATGATAACTTTCTAAGTAAAAACAGAATGGGTGTACATAAATTTCCTATTCTCTGATCTCTAACCTGAATATTTTATCTTATATGTGAATAATTTTATCGTTTTGCAAAATAACTGGCATGTATTTGGGAGAGTGGGTCACTAAATAAGTACTTCTCAACCACACATTCAGTATTTAAAATGTAATTGTTCAATGAATTAATCCTTTTATTATTCTCATATGTAAAACACTCAGTTTTAAGCACATTCAGCTTAAAATATAGGAAAAATAAAAGTGGCTTTATTAAGTAGGAAAAAAAGATTTTGTATAAATATGAGAAACTAGGACGTTCATAGAAGTTATAGTATTAAAAGGTGACACAGCTATGAGAATTTAAATATCTACTATTAAATAAAAACTGATTTAGACAAGTACTTCTATTTTAACCCCGGTTCTCTAATTAGTCAATTTATAATTCTGCTCGACTTTTGTATTTATCAATTTATATTCTGCTCTACTAAAACTTCAAGTCTTTAAAATAAAAAAAAAGCAAAACAAACATGTGAAATAAAAACAGACCAGACTCCCCCTTTTCCACAAATTTATATTCTTAATCTAGAAGAACATAAAAAGTTCATAGAAATGGTTCCAGATTCCACAATGCAGCAACTTTTCTATTTTACTATCAATGCAGCAACTTCTAGAAACTATTGCAGGCAAGTTTTAGTATAGTATTATAGAAGAATTTCCACAATTTTATGAAAAGGTCTTTAAAATCCTCTCAGTTTCATAAGAAATGGTATAGTTCTCAAGAAACTAGTAAATTTCAATAGATACTGCTCATATAAACAAAAGTTCTTTGGTATTCTCAGTTTTTAAAGGAAGTTCTAACTACTTTTGAGTAAACTAAAAAAAAAGTTCGGGAACTAATTTATCTATCTAGCTTTCTATAGAGTTATCAGTTCTAGAATGCAGACTTCTCATTCTTTAACATTCCTAATATCCAGATACTGGACAGAGATTATATTAAGTAAAACTTTAGTTACAAAATAGGAGAGTAAACCCTCTGCTAAGTACTTGGGGAAACAAAAATGAATGAAATATAACCTGTCCAGCAAGTTTGTGACCTTTTGCAGAAGACATTTATATAAAGAAATAATCCACAAAATAAATGCTTGAGAAAGAGAGATATGAATGACATGCTTTGGGAATCTTGCAAGATGTATGACTAGCTGCTTGTATGCACCAGAAAAGATGTTATGAAAGAGGTAACATTTCTGGTGTATCTTAAAAGGTGGACAAAGAGTTTTGCAGAGTGAAGGGAAGTCATTCTAAATATAGGGAAGAACATTTATAAAAATTATAAAGCAATACATTTGTAGGATGGTAACATTTTGTGGGGCTCATGCAGAAGGCATCTGAGGTAAAATGAGGTAAAGAGAATAGGTTTCAAATTTTATCAGATTGTTTCTCATGTGCCAGGGCAACCCCACGAGCAATGAGGATCCTAGTAAAGGTGGGTCACCATAAAAGTGTTCAGTAAGTTTGGTTTCTTAGAAAAATAACTCTGATGCTACTACTATGGAGGGTGTACTTAAAGAGAAGACAACCCAAACTGAGTCAGCTAAGAACTGTTGCTCTTTCTTTTTGCCTGAAAAAGTAAACTGCTTTTGCAAAATAGTGTCCCTCAAACTGGAAGTCACAAATCAGTATAAACTGCCATCATCAAGACTAACAGAATCCAAAAACATATACAAATACATCATATTAATAATGAATAATTAAAAATGTTAATAGAACTACCATAAAACAGACACTCAACCCTGGAATATAGTGAATACATTTCTAAAAGTCACAGAAAATTATGTACACTCCAAAATATTAACTATAAGTACTTTTGGTTTCTTTATACTTTTGGGTTCTTTTCTACATTTTCACAATAAGTAGCATTACTTATAATGGATCATAAATTTTAAAAGTGTGCACATATTCTATTTCATAAACAATTATCTTTATAAAAATTGTGAAACTAAAATATTACCTTTTTGTCTCCTTGTTTTCGTCTTCTTAACCCTGGTCTGTAATCATCTCCAAATCTCAGAAAGTAATAGTAAGAAACTAGCCTCTCTATGGGATCTCTTATGACATTAATGTAGATTGGTTTCTTCTTCACACCAAATCTAAAAATAGAACAAAATTAAGAAGGTGAAACTGACATTTTCATTCTGTAAAGGGGTATCCTCAAATTATAAGTTTGAGGTTTTGACTCTATATGGAAAGAAGAACATGGACTATTTAAACACAATGATTATTTGGCAATTAGGAAATATTTTATGGCTGCTATATAATAAAGTAAATAAGAAATAAGTATTCAAAAATTATGCTGAAGATAAAAGCACTACACTTGATCTTAGCAACAAGGTTGAGAAGCCATACTACTGTAGATAAAGAAAGGAACATCTAATGAAAAATAATTTTAAACTTGACTGGCCAGATTTACATAAAGTATTTCCATTTTATATAGCAACAATTTCTTAGTTCTGACCCACTGAATTAGACAAACATGATTAGACAATAATCATTAAGTCTAGATAAGTGAAATTATTTGAGTTGACTGCTAATGTTTATTTAACAAGACAGAAGTGAGAGACATTCTGTTTTCTGTATTGTTTCCTTAGGTAAGGATAGTTAAAGTAAACAGAAGTCTTTGACTTTCGCAATCCTTGCAGATTCTAGAACTGTCCAGTTGCCTCTGTTCTAATTGCTCGCTTTCTCTATCTTGAAACCTTATAGTTATCTTGATTCTATTCTTTGCCTTTATTTTCAGTTAGGACAGTCACTAAATCCTCTTCACTATCTTTGGCATGGCTTTGGTAGCACTTATAAGTATGAAGAATGATTTTAATGAGATAATGTGTGAACTTATTCTGAAAATAGGTAAGAACCATTGTGTGTAAAACAGGATAAGGTTATATAGAGATGAAAGGAAGAGATTATAACAGAAAACAGGTGTGATAAAAATACCATCTGGGCCATTCAGCCCAAATGGTTAGGAAACAAGCACACCTTTCAGGCTGTAGGTTTAATTCTTTTGTCAACCAGATAGCTATTTACAAGGGAACAAATACATTTGGGGACTCACTGGCCAGTGTGAGCTGTTCCTCCAGAGTGTTTCTCAGGAGGTGGAAAAAAGGAAAAGCCACCTTCAACTTCAAGAAAATAAAATTTCCACTGACTTGTTAGAATATAACTTTCCAAAGAAAAGAAGAACAAACTTAATAGGAATTTGTGATACTGTATGAAGATCAAAAGGAAGGAAACAGCTGAGCAGTAGGTTGGTAACAAGACGTTTTAGAAACCTTACTACAAACTAGGCTAATTTTTTTCACAACTATTCTCTATAGATTGCTTAGAGAGATAAATGAACATCACAAATGGTTAATAAAACATGCTAACACTCAGAACACTTGAAAGGCACTTTGTCATTTGACCAGAAAAAGCCTATATGGAAGATGATAAAGCTGAAAGAAGGCTGAACAGCCTCTGGTAAGGATTACGCTTTTGACATTTCTTCTTCATTCTGGATTTACATCTCTGTTTAACTAGAGTTCTCACTCAGGACGTGAATATCTTACACATATTTACTCCAGACTCCCTTAGCCCTAAAACATTCATAGAGACTTTCAAAGTCATGAAGTGGCAAGTTCCTATGGTCTTAACTGTAAAATAATAAATGATCTGCTGTTATTTGTTAGTCCCATAATGGTAATATTCTGAGTAAATTATTTTTAAAATAATACATCTCTTTAAAAGAACATTTTATTGTCAAAACTGACAAGAAGGCCTAGCAATTAGAGCTCTCAAGTCTCAACCACAGTGGTGATGGTGAGATGGCAAAATAATACTTCCATTTGGGAAAAAGAGTTTGGCAAATTACTATAGTTTCATTTAATCCAGTAACTCCACTTCTAGGTTTTAACCCAAGCAAAGTGAAAATATGTCCACACAAAACCTGTATGCAGCAGCTTATGCAATCACTAATAAGGAGAAGGACAGAAATTGTGGTGCATCCATAAAATGGAATACTACATAGTATAGAATGAACTACTGATACATCAAATTTTAAGAGCATTATGCAAAGTAAAAGAAGCCACATTCCAAAGACATGGTGACTGACTAAGTAGAAGGTGAAGAAAAGGATTGTGTAAGCCAACTCTCAAGTTTCTTGCTTAGATGGCTGATAATAAAAATAGGTCACCTTCGCAAAAGAGAATAATGGCGGCAGAGATAAAGGCTTGATGATATTTTAACTGAGAGCTGGAAAAGAGGTTAGCAGACATTGGGACAGGGAGAAAAAGAAAACACTAGTAAGACTGCATGGCAACTGAAAAGAATTTTAAAAGAGCTTAACACAGCTCTGTGTGAGACAAAGAACTAAGTGCATCACATTCATGATCACATTTCAACCTCATAACCACAGGTAACTAAAGTCACTAATTATCATTTTCCAAGGGGATGGGGAACTAAAACCTGTAAGGAATATGGCTGAGATTGCAGCACTGTAGGGAACGAGGTGGATGTAACTGCAGATCTGTCTGACTCCAGTAACTGCTCCTTAGTTATTTTGCAGATCTGTGTTGTAAAGGGAGCTTAAAGTTCTACAAAAAGGTTCAAAGGTTCAATCTTCAACTGGTTCAGCAGAAGAGTACAAGGTAAAAGAGATAATCTTACAGGATCTAGAAACTAGCAATCTATTCAGACCTAACACAGTCACTTTGTTTTTCTCTACGACACTTTGAATTTAATGATCTGCTCCAGAACTGACCAGTGCCTACATTAAACTATAGTGTCCAGAATAATTTCCAAAAACCTTTCTGAGACTGATGCAGACGAGTGACCTTTAGGTGACTGGGTCACTGACAATCTCAGCTGACCGAAACCAGCATGAAAACAGTTTTCCTTTTAACTGAATTTTTATAGAGGAAAATGTTACCAGAAAAGGTTTTATAAAGAGAGCCTCATGTTTCATTTTGTAAAATCTGAAGAAAATCAAAGTGGTACTGATGTTGCTAATAAATGGTTCTAGACAGCTAAACAGTAGCTAACAGTAGGGTTATATGTAACATTCTCTACTGTTTGTGATAAGACACAGTGAATTGATTAATAATTACAGAAAAAAAGTGAAGTTTCAAGGGACTCAGTGGGAGCAGGAATTTAACTTATTCAACTTTATATCATGTGATCCTAGGGCATTTTGAAAATGTCCAACCTATGTAATTTCCGTTTAAACTGGAAAAGTTCTAAGCTGATGATATTAATTTATTATGCTTACAAAAACATAAATATGCTATGCAAAACAGCAAATGAATACTAAAGGGAAAACTAGATAGGAAGAACTAGGAAATGTGCTTTTAAAAAAAAATCAACCATCAGGAGTAAGACAAAAAGGAGAAAGGCAAAGACAGGAATGGAAACATGTAAGAAGATATTTTTGTTATTATCTTGGTTTGAGCAGAAAAAGGCTTACAAATAAAATATATACTTCTTAGTGATCAGTCTAAACTAGAAAGAATTTTTCATCTTTATCTTGTTTCCTGGGTGTCTTGGGGTTTCTTGGGTTTACAATCTTTCTCAGTGTCTCTGCTAAAGCTACTGAAAAATTATAAGATTAAATAATTCTTACACTAAGTATAGCCATATCTTCCAGAAAACAAGTATTTTAATGAACTCCACAAGTACTAATACCAGTCCAGAATATGTTTTGAAGTATAAAGTATCTTAAAAAGTGGTAAGGTGATTTTTTTTTTCCTCTTTATTCAATTGTGGTGAGTATGGTGATTAAAGGACACTAGTTACATCTACAATAATTCTTGACTATAAATATCATAATACACTTCCTCTAGCTGATTTTAAAAGTATTTGTTTAAAATCTTGTAAACGTTTGTGAAATTTCATAATACTTTCATTTCCAATAACATGAGACTGATCATGAAAATATTCAAACCTTTAAATGTTCATGTTAATATTTAATAAATGAGATTAATCTTTTCCAAAAGCTTTATACATTTTCAACTGCAAGAACCCCAGCATATACCAGAGCTTCATTTTAAGTACAAGACTTTTGCCAAAAGCAAAAGCACTCAATATATTATTTTAATAATGAAAATTTCAAGTATTAGAAACCAAGCTGTGTGTGGAAAAAAATAAAATCATTTAGGTGAAAGGGTAACAAACACTCAATTGAAGGATAATGCAGCCCTTAGGGAAAATATGCATATGAGTGAAGTTTATGAAATTGGTTCAATGCCTCTGCAAAGAAAAATAATTAGTTTATTTTAAAGCTGCCTATAAAATGTTTTCAATATTGTAGTATGAATTATTTATAGAAAAATGTACATCTAACTTTAAAGCCACCATTTTATTGAAAGATCATAAGTACTGGGGGAAGAATTAGAAATAAAAAGAAATAACAATATATTGTTTTATGTATGTAATATCTGGGAGACTCCTTTATAATTACCTTTTTTTTTGAAAAGTTGAGACATAGTATCAAACTGAACCAATAATAGCTCACTAAATTTCTCAAATTTAAAGTGTTAAACTGACAAAGGATTAAAAAAATAATTTTCAATTTTTACACAGGATGCTCTTTAAAATTGACAAAGAACATGCGGGTGTATTATGTTGAAGTGAGGACTGTTAATGAAAAGACTGAGTGAACATGTCTAAGGTACATAAAAAAATTTTAATGTTCTTGAAGTTAATATAGGATCTTATTAAGAAATAAACCCACATTCAAATGCATAGGCAAGCTGAATATATTTAAAATATTCCTTTTGATCAGTTTTCTGATCAGTTCTTAATATGGCAAAAGCTCTAGGAAACAACACAGTGAGCCGATATTGTTAGTCAGACTACAGTTTTATGAACTCTTCTTGCAAGAATTATGATGTAAACACCCTGATCTACTCCTCCCCCCAGCAAGGAAAATGAGTTTCCGACATCTACATGAAAGAAAATAAAAGAAAAACCACCATTAAGAGGGGGAAAAAAACCCTCTCTTTGGTATTTATCACAGTTTTAAAGCTAAAACTTGGTAATCCAGGTAATGTACACTTTACTGTTCTTATTTGAGAAACACATGCACTAGGGCACTAAGAACTGAGTGAGGGTCTTCGCTTTCTCAGTTCTTCATGACTTGATAATCATAAACTGTTGCTTGGTTCAAATCTGGATCCTCATGAAATAGTGCCATTCTGGCTATACAGGAAACATAAAAGTAATAATTATAAATAACTTCATCGGTTATTGCCTAAATTTGATGGACCTTGCATTTCTAAGATTAGTTTGACAATTATCACTTTATGAACACTAGAGGGCAGTAAAACATTAGAAAGGAATATTTAAATTACTTCTCTAAAGTGACAAAGGCAAGCCAGTACATATTTTTAAATCCAAAATGTGAATTTATTCTTTTTAGGTTGCTGAAGTACAAGGCATTCTTTAGTGGATGATTTTGGTGTAACTTACTTTGCAAAATCCAAATAAGAAACATGCCCATGATAAAAACCTGGTTTCATCTCTTTCCAGGAAGTTATGTTCTTTACAAAACGCACCTAAAAAAAAGAAAGCACACTCATTAGTTAAGTATAATATAAAGATATTGACAACTGATGATAGCAAAATTCTTTCATTTAAGCATTTAAAATCAATCATGCAAAGTGTGACATTTAAAGTGCTTGAAATACAAGTTTCATCTGAGGAAAAGTATGTGTGATCTGTAATTACAAATCATTATATAGAGCTACTTTGTCCACACTCAGAAAACAATGCAATCTTTTACAGTATTGTATTGTGAGTACATCTCCTGTGGATGGGCAGCACTTGGCTTGGGAGAGTCTCTGCATGTCAGCTTTATTCTCAACTGTAATTCAACTATCTCAGCAAATTTATCTTTATTAATAAAATGAATAAAATTAAAACCAGTCCTTAAACCAAAATCATTAAGAATGATTATCAAAAGACTTTAAAGAGTAAAAAGCAGATACCTTAAATTTGTTGGTTAAAAAGTTTAATAATATTAAAGATGTGATATCACTAAAATAAAAAATTAATATCTAAATATTGCTATTTTAACTTATGATAATTAAAAGTATGCAAAAGATCAGTTAATATGATTCTTTAAGTGTCAATGCAGTAAAAAACTTCTTAAAGAATATGTTAATACAGAAATAAGCCTAAGTACCTCCTGTTGCAAAGAAGTAATATGCCATTTTTCAAAAAAAAATGATATTTTGAATAGCAGTATGTGCATGATAACCAGAGTGGTTAAGAGTAGCTTCTGGGGCCCTCCCTGGTGGTGCAGAGGGTTGAGGCGCTGCACTAAGAAGCTTAAGCCACTTTCTCATGAGTTCGATACCCGCCTGCCCCGGAGAAAATCCACATGGCGCGTTCCTGGCCTGCCCTCTGCTCCCCTCAGTGGTGTACTTCGTAGATCTGTCTGTTCTGCTCCCCCTCTGTCCCTGGTGAATCCTCCCACCCTCTGCATCTCTGGCCTGTACCCCAGTTCTGTATGCATAAATAAATAAATATTTAAAAAAAAAAAAGAGTAGCTTCTGGATTTGCAGTAACATGTGGGGTCAGGGTAGAAAGGGCCTCACACCTTGGAGGGTACTCAAAGCATCTATACCTGGTGACCTCAGCCTCTAAGGCAAAAGCCCGACCAATGCATAATCTCAACAATTATCGGTCTTTCACTTACATTTGAGAACAGACTTCAGACGGAGATATTCTGGAGTATGGAATTAGTATGCTAACAGTAATGAAGGGTAATGATCACTTCCTGGATATTGTCAGGCGAAGAAGCAGCCACATGTCAGAGGTGAACTAAGGGAAATGGAAGATCCTCTAGGAGAAGAATTTTTTTTTTTAAGATTTATTTATTTATGCATACAGATCTGGGGTACAGGCCAGAGATACAGGGGTGGTGAGAGGATTCACCAGAGACAGAGTGGGGAGCAGAACAGGCATATTGACAAAGTGCACTGCTGAGAGGAGCAGCGAGCAAGACAGGAGAGGTCTGATGCGATCATCTCCAGGACTGGGGATTGAATTCACACTGAAGCAGCTGCAGCTTTGCTTGCAGTGCTGCGTCCTAACCTGTTGTGCCACCAGGGAGGGCCCAAGAAGAATTTTATTTTTTATGATAAGCATTAACAACTCAAATGCTAGAAGAAAAAATAATGAGTCCTATCTCAGTAACTTTCTCATACACAATAAAATCTGAGATATTATAGACAACAAAAGTAGGGTGCCTTAGAAAATACACACTTACATTTTAGCAAATGTTTTCAATGTTTCCTCACCAAGATATAGGTGATTTAAGGTTACTGTGTTTCTTTCTATTTGTTCTTCAAAATGAGACACCAAGTTAAAATATCAAATGACAAAAGAAAACATAAATAATTTGATGGCTCAAAATTGATCCTTAAAAAATTACATGCTGAATATGAAGTCTTTATAACTGCCACTTAATACATATATACATTAGGTTGTATGAAAAATCAGTTTAAGTTTTTCAACCAAAAATGAAAGGGGGAAGAGAAGGCTAAGAGAAAAAGGAATTGGATCAAGGGTGTGCAGACAAAATTAGCAACTTCAGCTTTTCAAAAGCTGAGATTTAATATAGACATTGTGGTGTAATAAACAACTAAAAGGACATGATAGATTATAGAGTCTGAGTAAATAGTGTTATATAAGATAAATGTTAGAGAGTATCATAGCACAAATCTATAGTATACTATGGTGAAAGACTTAGATGGAAATAAGAGGCAGTCTACATTTCATGTGTCCTTTGCCCTTCCACCACTCTTAAGGACGGTCAATATTAAACTAAACTGTCCTAAGGATGAATGATATTTCTGCTACTGTGTGTCCTGCAATGTGGGTGAAGAGCCCAGGGTGCTGAATATATCTGACTGCTGCAAGGCTTCTGAAATTTTAATGTGCAAATGAATCATCTGTGAGTCTTGATAAAATGAAGATTCTGACTGAGTACAGCTGGAGTAGGGCCTCAGAATCTGTACTTCCAGAGAATCTCCATGTGATGGCCACCTCAGCGGCCCATTTGGAGGGCAAGATTCAGCAAGTGGAGGCCCAAGAACTAGTTCCTGTTTTTTTTTTTTTTTTTTAATGTGAGGACTGTTTTTGTAGTGCCTGAAAAGGAAGTACGGTCTATAAACACTCTGTAGCAAGTTTTTTTTTTTTTTTTTTTAATGTGAGGACTGTTTTTGTAGTGCCTGAAAAGGAAGTACGGTCTATAAACACTCTGTAGCAAGAGTATACTCTCATATTTTCTTTTTTCTTTTTTTTTTAAAGATTTATTTATTTATGCATACAGAACTGGGGTACAGGCCAGAAGCTCGGGACAGTGAGAGACAGCGTGGGGAGCAGAACAGGCAGATCGACCAAGTACACTGCTGAGGGGAGCAGCGGGCAGGTCAGAAGAGGTCTGCCACGCCATGTGGTCACCTCCGGGGCAGGCGGGAATCGAACTCATACGGAAGTGGCTTTAGCTTCTCAGTGCAGTGCTTTAACCCGCTGCGCCACAAGGGAGGGCCCATATTTTCTGTTTTTATAAAATGGAAGAAAGTATACTGAACAAAAGCAAATTTCTAAAGACAATCTTAGGAGCTACAGAAGGGGATACAGGAACAGAATGAACCCTGCCCACTTAGTCTTCCTCTTTTTTCTACCCCCACAGAGTGATGCCTGAAGCATACTAGAAAGAAAGTATTCCAGAAAACAAACTTTAAATACCAACAAAATGAAAAATAGGGCTGTGTCTCCAGCTGGACACAGAGAACAGAAAGCAGAGAACAGAACCAGGCATGACTTTTCTGCTGCAGTCACCAGTGTCTAACTCTCTGGTTTACAGAATCAGTATTTTTAGAGGTGGAAGGGTGTGTTCTGATACCTCCTAGTCCTATGCAGTGCTGTAAAGTCATGTTACCTCAATTAAAAAAAAAAAAAAGTTTTTAAATATCTTGACTCCAAATAAAGTCTTATATATAGACAGTTAGACTAGGCTTCTTTTTTTGACCAGTTCCTCAGGCAATAAAAAGGCATAACTAAGTCAAAGTGACTGTTGAGAAATGGTTGTACAATAGGAGAAAATTTCACATGGGATATTATTGCTTTTACATTCTGTACACTCCTGCCTGGTAAAGTATATAAAATACACAGAATCTTTTCTCTAATTGTCAACTAAGAGAATACTGAAAACTACATAATATATGCATATATATATATTTTTCCTTTCAGCTCAACATTTCAAGCAGTATGTTAAAAAATGTCTCATTGATAAAGTTGTGGGTGATTTACAATTAAGCAATGAATTAAAAGATGCTGATCTGAGAGTTATCTTCCCCTTATAGGGAAGATAAAAAAGTACTGAGCAAACAAATGATGTAATAAAACTAAAGTGGCCATCACACTAACATGAAGAATAGTCTGAGGACTTAGAAATGTCATTTAACAACTACTGAAAACTCCCTGGCATCCAAATCTCTTCTCTGAAAGTGACCTCCAAGAATATAACTTAATTAACTTCACACCTCTGTAGAATAGTATGTCTTTAAAGTTTGCTCTTCAAAGTACTAATTTGGCCACTTCTTTTATCCATGTTTATTATTGACCTTCTGGTTCTTCAGAATCCCCCCCTTCTCTACTCTTTTCACTTTCCCCTCTTGTCTAGTATGACTCTGTCTTGTTACCCTTCCTCCATCATTTGCCTTGTTTTCTAGTTCGTTTTCTTCTGGTTTTCCTCTGTGATGAGAGTTTCTGCCCAAGACGCTGAGATAAAGCTCTGGAATATAGAGCCTTCAGAGGAAATGAAGACTGGGCACGCAAGCTCCTACTCAGTCCAATTTTATACATCCTCACTGATTACACATGGCACTAATGAATGGACAAATGAGAGGCAAAAAAGGAGCGGAAGTAACAAATGAATTAAAGAGACTAGAAAACATAGAAAATTGGCCTGGAAAGAAGAAATAAAGGCAGCATGGTGATTTTATTCAAAGAGTATTTCCATTTGCTGATTGAAATAGGCTATCAAGAAAGATGTTTCAGAAGTAGCAGTAAGATATATAGTACATGAAAAGAGATGTTTTTATGGCTAGCCTGGAGCAGATCCTCAACTGTGATTTTTGTCAGATTTTATAACTCAAGTAGAATCAGGCTAGCAAGTAATCAGAAGAGACCTTTAGGGAAAACACAAGCAATGTAGGTAGTGTTGATGTGATTTATTTGCTAGTTTAGTCAGACCTGAGCCAAGATACAAGAAAAAATGCTAAGAAAGCGCCATCTCACTAAGTGTATTTAAACCTACATTCTTAATATGATTAATCTCAATATTATGATTATCTGTGATCATAGAAGAACTTGTTTTCACTAACTAAAAGTAAGAATGTCATCCTGAACACCCTGGCCAAATTCCAACTTTGTAATTACTACATATTGAATGAATACTACTATTAACTTGGGTAATTACTATATAGCAAACTCCTACTCAGGCATATACTTAAAATAAACATCCATAATACAGCTGTGGGTA